CTCACCACAGGATATCCTTGATCTCGCCAGCAAAGAGGCTGCGGCATAGTTTTTAGGTAACGCGACTTTAGAAACGGATGAACCAAGACACCCTCCAACTACAACCCTTGCACTGGCTCCGGCCACGTTTACATACTTTATTGATGGATCTTGGAAAGATGAGGACCCCATGAATGGGATTGGGTGGACCCTACAGTTGCAGGATGGCGAAATTGATCTCATAGGGCTCAGGGCCCTATGCCGAAGTATGTCTCCCCTACACACAGAGCTCCATAGTCTTATATGGGCATTGGAGAGCTTAAAGAAGAAAAATCGATATTGTACTTGTTTCGCCACCGATTCACAGGAGCTAACAACCATGGTGTTAGAGTCGGACAAGTGGCCACGTTTCAAGTCAGAGCTGGAAGAACTGAAGGAACTGCGGGCTTTCTTCCCAGACTTTACCCTAAAGTATTGTCCAAGGGAGATGAATGTTCGGGCATATACTTTGGCCCGGCATGCCCGACAATGGAATGTATTGTTTTCTAATATTAGTACTTCGGTCCCCCATTGGTTCTCAGATACTACTGTATTTGGATAATCGGGTGAAGTACGTTCGTGACAAAAAAAAAATCATATATTGAGGCACCTAATCTGAATCTTAAAGAAAAAAAAATGTTCTGTTTAGAACTCTTGAGTTGAATGAAATAATACGAGCTTTAAACGATCATTAGAATAAAAAGAAAAACAAGTCGAACATGGAAATTTATAAAACGACAAGTTGAGAAGAGAAACTCAAATCGAAAAGAAATAAACAAATTTATTTTGTATCAAATTTATTTTGGCTTTTGAATATAAATGAAGAGTCCCCACTACGACGTCGTTTCTTTGAAAGCAACTTTTTTTACCGATTATCACTTCATTTTGCATCCGTACGTGTCGGTGTGTTTGTTGATATAATCCCGATTTGATTTTCCTCTAGTGGGTTTTTTTTTGTATTATTCTTTTTAGGTATTGAAACCAACTTGTTGTAATCCAATGATTTTGTCACCATATAGGTCCAATGATTTTGATCCCAAAAAAAAAAGAAGTTCAAAACAAGAAATGAATCTAATTTGATACACTGATAGTCACTTGACATTGAAGATTACCCGATAATTAAGCTCCGTGAC